AAATTTTATTATTTATTTAAAATATTTAATAAATTTATATAAATTTTATAATTTAATTTTAAATTAATATTTTATTAAAAATATTTTATATAATAAATTTTAATATTTATAATATTTTTTATATTTTGTAAAAAATTTACTTAAAATATATTTATTATTTATAAATATTACGTTTTAATTAATTTATAAAAATATTTTAATATATTAATTTTAAATTCTTTTTTAATATAATTTATATATATAATTAATAATAAATTTTTCGTAAACTTTATTTATTTTTATTTATTATATTGCATTAATAAATAAATTTATATTATAAAAAACAATATTTTTTTTAATAATAATTATATTTCTTATTTTATATAATTTATTTAAATTAAAATAAAATACCTTTATATTTTTTACTTTAAAACCGTTTAATTAAAATTTTTGTTTAATTATAACTTATTATTTACTTTAATTATTACATATTTTTATAAACAATTTATTAATTATAATTAATATTAAACCAAAATTTATTTAAAATATAATAATTTATTTAATAATTTATTATTATTATTTTTATTAATATTTAATAATATTAATAAAATAAATAATTAATTTTAATTTCCATTACTATTACCGCTTAATTTTATATTTTTTATTATATTATATATAAATAAAAATAATAATATAATTAATAAATTATAATATAGTAAAATTAATAAATTAATGTAATTTAATTAATTTAATTATAATAATAATTAAAAAAGTTAATTTTTATTAAATATTATAATTTTTTAATTAAATATTTTTAATAATATATTTAATATAATCGTTATATTTTAATTTTTAATAAAATTAAAAATTTTATAATAATTATCGTTTTTAAACTTATATTTATTTAATTAACTTTAATAATATATTAATTAATATTAATTAATTTATAAATTATAATATTTATAATATATAAAATTATTTATTAATATTATTAAATAAAATTAAATTTTTATTTAATAAAAATATATTATATATATATATTATAAATGATATTAAATTATTAATTAATATTATAATAAAATTAATAATTAATAATATAAAAAAAATTATTATTATTAATAAAAGTTTAATAATTAATTTAATATTCCTTTTATTATTATTTTAAAAATTTTTTATAAATATAAATTTAATTGGTAATATTATTATTTAAAATAATATTTATATTAAAACCGGTAATTATTATATTAATATATATAATTTTAAAAATTTTTATAATTAAAGATTATTTTTTAATTAATATTTAAAATTAAATAAAATTATTTATAATTTTATTAATATTAATTTAATAATTTAAAATTATATTTATAAATTAATTAAATTTTATAAAAAATAATAAAATTATTTTTAATAAAAATATAATTTTAATTAATTATATTAAAATTTTTAATATTAATAATAAAATTTTTAATATTAATTATAAAATTTTCATTAATAATAATAATATTTTAAATGGTAATATAATTAATTTATTTATTAATATTAATATTATATTTAATATATAATTTTATATAAAGTTAAATATTTTATAAAATTTATATAAATTAATAATTTATTTAAAATTGTAATTTTTTAAAAGTTTAATAAAGTTTTATATTTAATTGTTGGATGTAATTACGTAAGGATAGTCACGTGGCAACACGTGACTATTCCCCACACAAAAGGCAATTCTTTTTAGGTAGCACCCACACACACAATTCATCATCCTTGCAACAACAGTCATCGCGATAGCCTCATTTGTGTTGCTTTTTTATTAAGTGTACACCGCCACCCTACCTTATCATCCGACATTAATAATTATATAAAAATTATTAAAAACGTTATTATTTAAAATATTAAAAGTTTTTTACATATAAAAAAATTTATTATATATTATTTTATGGTAATTTTTATATTATTAAAAAAAATAAGTTTTTTTTTAAAAAAGTTATTATTTTAAAAACGTTATTTATATTTTTATTTATTTTTTAATTAAGGTATAAAATAATTAAAATAATATTTTTATAAAAAATATTTAAAATCTTTAAAAAAATATAATATATTTTTTTAATTTAATTAAAAAAATAATTTTTTAATTAAAATAAAAATATTATATAATAAAAATAAAAATAATATAAAATAAATTAATTTTAATTTTAATTAAAAACTTAATTAAATATAAATAATAATTATATAAATATAAATTAAAACAAAGTTAAATAAACAGTAAAAAACAAGTTAAATAAATAATATATAAAGTTATTATATATTTTTAAATATTTAATTTTTTATATAAATTTATTAATATATATTTATATTTTATTATAAGTTTTAACCATTTAAACTATTTTAAAATACGCGTTTTTTTATTGGTTAAATTTTACACCGTTTATTTAATAATACTTTTATTTTATAACTTTTTATTTAATTAAGTTAATTAAAATGACGATGTAAAACTTATATGTTTTTATTTCGATATAATATTATATTGTTTTTACTTGGTCGCATATATCGGTTAAAGATTATACGGTTACATGTAATTATTTTAAAGTAAAAAAGTTAAAAACGAGGTTTTTTTAAATAATTTTTAATATATATATATATATATATAAAGTTAAGTTATATTATATAAAATTATTTAATTAAATATAAAGTTAATTAATAAAAAAACGCGTATGTTAAATAAATTAATAAAATTAAAAAGTTTAATAAATTTAACAAAATTATTATAAAAAATATAACCGGGGATAAATAAATTTATATAAAAATATATATAATATTTATATAAAAATATATATAATATTTATATAATATTTATTAACTTTATTATTTATATAATTATAACGTATATATTATTTATTTAACCCGTTTTTTATTGTTTATTTAACTTTATTTATAAATTATAAAATTTAAAAATATTATAAAATTTAAAAATATTATAAAATTTAAAAATATTAAATTTTAATAATTAATTATATTATATTTATTGTTTTTTAATTATTTAATAAAATTATATTAATTTTAATATATTTTTAATAATGTTAAAATATAATTTTAACATTAAAACTATGGTTTTTAAAAAGGTATTTATAATAATTTTTTATATTTTAACCGTTATAATAAATAAATTTAAAAAATAATAAAAAAAAAATAAAAAAATAATATAATATTTTTTATTAAATATAAAATATTACATTAATAATTTAAAAATTATTTATTAAAATAAAGTTATTAATTATAAAGTTTTATTTAATATAAAATTTAATAAATTAAAAAAAAAAAAAAGATTTTTTTTATAAATTATTTTAATAATATAATTAATATATAAATAAAATAAATATAATAACTTATTTAATAACTTATATAAACTTATATAATAATTATTACTTAAATTTCACGCGTTTTTACGATCTTTACAATTAAATTATTAATAATTACATTAATATTGCTTTAATCATTACTTAACTGTATATATTAACTGTTTAACAATAAGTTAATCAATACCTTTAAACATATTGCTGATACTTATGCTTACCCCCCATAATCTTTTCCTTGCTTAAGTTTACAAACAACCCTTAAGCCATTAAGATAAACCGAAACCCCGGACCAAAAACCTAGACCAGCTGAATTGGTATCCCATACCAATGACTTGGTTGTATATAAATTAAACGGGAGGTAAACTCTTTTTTAAAAACATGCCATTGCATGTTCATACCTTCTGTCAGCTTATACCGAAGCCATATTTTATTTTTCAAATCCCGAGGTGATGTATTCCGAAGCAGTTGTTATCATGTCAGCATTCCATGCCGCAAGTCTTCCCTTTTCTTGCAAACGGCATATCTAAAGCGCTGGAGCAACCGGCCTGCAAGTATGTTTGCTTTCCCATCGGCTTATGTGTTTGCTTATCAAAATCTCCGAATGGCATCGGATGTCCTAATCTCGTGCATCATGTGAGCGTTCCGCACTGGAAGGTTTGCTAAACACGGGAAATTCCTACATGTCATGGCAGACTGTGTGATACGAGCCGTGCTGTCTTCATTCAGCTCAGATAATACCACCAAAGTCCGCACTTGGCTCCGTCTTGATTTGGGCAATCAGCTTGCAAAGATCAATAGCAATCAAGTAATATAAATTAACTTCAGATGAGCTCTCAATGCTACAAATCACCAATCTTAGGATGGGTTTATCTTGCATTATCTGGTAAAAAGCCCATCAATCATATTATCCAGGTATTCACTCTAACCTTTAGATAGCTGAGATATCTAAGAAAACTTTCTATATATATGGACACTTCAGTCTCAAACAGATTAATAGTGTTTTACACTTCGACGGAGTTATATTTCCTACGAATTACATGTATCCTTACACATCTATCCGAAATCTTTTATCTAAACCTTCTAATACTGTGAAACCTCGAGTCATTTCCTTCTATTCACCATCACAGGAAGCAGCGAGTTACCAGTACTCCGTTAGCATCAGTTGATTCTCATGATTTCTAAGGCTTAGGTAACCTTAGAAATCAGCCATGTCACAGAGTGAACAAGGACAACATGCTACAGATAGTGTGGGAGCTGAGCCGTACCTTCGTCCGTTAATCTCCTCCTTCATCTCAAGCATCGGGTACACAACGGCGCCGGTGATCAGCGATGGGACATATTGGTCAGCTCTACATCAACGTGCAGCTAACACTGGTATTCCCCATCCTGAGGGGTCCCACTCCTTCAAATGCTTAAAAGTAGGGGGAAATTACGCTATTGTATTACCACTATCTTTTTTCTTTTTTATTATACCCCAGCTAAGAGCGTGTAACAGGCTTGTCTTCCCAATCATCCTCTTGACGTCCAGGTATATGTCGGTATATATACCTGGCTTGCTATTGTCATTGACGATGTAGCATGTCAGTCTTCGGAGGATTTCGAGCCCTTTCACGAGCGCTTCGCTAGCGGAAAGCCCCAGCCGACGATTCTTCTCGAGGCTTGGGCGGGGATAATTCGGTCGGCTTTTGATTACTGGGACCCTATGGCAGCCAACTTTATCGTCGCCGCATCCCTTGATTTTCACAACGCGTGCGTCTTAGAGGCGCGTTCCGAACTTCGATGCCTAGTACGAACTAAAGGGGGTCATAGTTTGGCCTGGTACATGCGTAGCAAGTCCGGTGTTGCAGATGCCTATGCATACTTCACATTCCCCAAGGCCATCTATCCTGATATTTCGTGTTTCCTAGAAGCGATCCCAGACATGTCTGCTTATTTCTGCCTCGCCAATGATGTCTTGTCGTGAGTACAGAAGGACTTTCCGACGGTGATCCTACTAATAGCGACATGCCAGATTCTATAAAGAAGAGAAAGCAAAAGAAAAGGGCAACTACATCAACTACAGAGCTTATTACGAAGACAGTGATACCCGAACAGTGCTGGGAAAGGTAATTGAGCAGACACAAAATGCCGTCCGGCGTATGCGGGTTGTGGTCAAGGGGCGGGAGCCGTATGAGCAGGCTTTAAACAACCACATATTGGGTTATATAGCGTTCCATACTCTCAGCGATCGCTATATGTTGTCAGAGATTGGCTTGGGAGAGGATGCACCCAGTGTGGTTAATGGCGAGGTTCCTTAGTTCACTTTCGACGACTGCCATGCCGAGAGAAGCTGCCAGTTCAAAATATACGTAAGAGACATGTATCTATAGTATAAGTACTGTCGTCGAAGGAGATTGTGGGGTTATCAACTAACCTTGAAAAATAAACAAGATATTTGTCATTTTTTCAGGATACCTATAATATCCTTCATTAAATCCGTCAATCGGTATTGTTATCTTGCTTTCTTATAAGTTCTCTGCGGTGCTTTGAATATATTCAATGATTGCCCTGAACAAGTGGTGGTGATATTGCTACAGTAGTTGTTATCTGTGAGGTAGGGATCTACCTAATTGTTCCACCAAGGCCCATAAACTCCGGATCACGGTACAGTGTTCGTTAATATATATTATATGACGAGTACATGGAGCTCAGATTGCCCCGTAGACACCTTTCCTTTACGTACTAATAGGCTACGGAAAGTTACTTCTTATGAAAATGAGGTAAGCTATCAAACTGACCACACCTCCTTTCTTAGTTTTACAGTAAATATTCGTGATACGCGTGACACCCAGCTATTTCTCGCACTGTCGACACCCAATTCTGCTGGGTTGTCTTTCGTACCCAGAGGGCTCCCAGAGCCTAGTTCCGGCATCGGTCCATCTGTACCTAACTCGGCACCTAGATATCTAGGTGGTCGTATAACTGTAGTCTCTTGCGAGGGCAATCCGTTCTTCCGCTTCGCAAAGATTCGACTCGCTAAAGTACTAACATCAAAAGGGAGGAACCTCTCTATTCTACCCGCTCGATACCGGCGGTACCGACGAAATATTATTGTTGCGAAGTACCCTAGTATAATGCCGATCAAAATCCCAGATAATGCCATAGCTGCCGTATTAGCGCTCGAGGTAGCGCTGCTAGAAACATCTCCATCGGCCCCGCTCCGATCCGCAGTGCCTCCGTTATCCGCGGCGGGCGTGCCTCCAGGCTGGATAGACGATGTTGTAATTGACTTACTTGTAAGCGGAGACGATAATAGACTTGCCGATAATAGGCTTGCCGATTCTTCCTTCCTAGTTGTGGTTGGAGTCGGTTCGGAAGTTATTGACGATTCGCTGATTTCGATCTCCGTTGTTGGGGTGAGTGACGTTATTTGCAGGTCCGTCGATGATGCTTGAGCTGGTAGCGTCTTAGAAGTAGATGTGGTGGCTTCGGGCAAAGCGAAGCTAGCAGGCGTCGGTGTAAGAATACTAGTTGAGGTTGTAACCGAACCACGAGTTAAAGGATCCGTAGCGAGATCGATTAGGTCTTTTTCCTGCCAGCGGATCTGGAGTGCCGGTCCCACGGTAGCCGGAGAACCATTCGCTGATTTTGTACGCATGAAGCCCCAAACGCCCCCGCGGAAATCTGTGGTATCCGAGGTGCAAGTAAAGCCGCTAGAAATCCCACACATAAATTAGTCAAGCTATTTCGGATCCCCGACGTCATTCGGACTTGCCTTGGAACGCAGTACATAGCCGTCTCCCCAGCTGTGATAGCGGGAAACCCTTCTCCCGATCTATCATTGCTTGCAGTGCAACCTACGACAAATCCACTTGGGCAGATAGCGGGCGAGTAGTACCCGAAACCTTTCTGCGCAATATTATCTGCCCAGAACGGGGGGTCACAGGAGGTAGGTCCGGTCGTCGGGAACGGTGGATATTGCGACGGGACTTTCGTAGTGGTTATCAGCCATGTCACCGGGCACGGTGGACTGAATATGGTAGTAAGCTCGGAGAGGCGATTACCGAATGCTGCCCGCCGCGCGGGAGTTGCTTTTGCCTGGGCCATAAGCAAGATGCGGGAGAAGACGAAAACGAAATACGCCTATTATATCGAAGGCTAGCTCCTCGCGCCCGCCAGCGGCACTACGCAGATAAGTGAGTCGTAAACCGGCGATGAAGCTTTTCATTTGATCCGGGGCATCTTTCCCAGATAACCCCTTACCTCTCGAGCCTTCAGTTTGCAGCTCGCCTTAATATTATGCGGCTGAATATCCTGTTCGGTCACAATCCCCTCCGGTCTCTACCCCAACCGCCAACTCTTTAATTCACGAGGCCCAGGATCAATCAGCCATGCTCTCGCTATTGGATCATCGTTGGTAAGGATACTTGCCAAGGACCTAGATTGCCATACAAATACAGGTCTAAAACACCATCAAAACGTGATACCACCCCGCTTCAGACACCTGGAACCCCCCCTGCATACAGTTTCACTTTGTCACGTCCAACAACCACCTTTTCCAGAAATTAGCTAGCATTCGCCAATTACCTTGTCCTTTACCCTACACTCAAACCCTCGGTCCTCCTAAGTTGGTAGTAAGCACGGCGCCTACCGTGAGGAACATACCAGAATATGAATACTGCCTTGCCATCCGCGTTGTCAAGCGGTTTAACACGTACAGGGCCTAGCATATACCGCAGCTCGTAAGATAAGAATCACGTTTCTAATGGGATCTCCCCGAAACCCCTCGGATCTTGTGTCTGGACCTTGTCAATTGCATTTAAAGCATTTCTAAGGTTGTGGTATTAGCAAGGACATATTTTTGGTTAAATAGTTGAAAGATCTAGTTTTATTCTACAACTGCCATAATGGAACTCTTAGAAGCTGGCGTCTATCTGGTAGGCATATAGGTTATAGTCGCACATGAGCGGACGGGTTATCGTCCTTTTCTATAGAGCGCGATGATAACTTGCCGCAACAATTATAGACCCCACAGGCTCAAGACTGATCCTTATGTGATCATGATTACAGCTCAACTCTTATAGTTCTTGTTATCTCAATGGTAGAGTGGACATTAAAGAGATTTAATATCTGTGTATTGATAAACTTGACGCCAGCCCAATCAGGACCGAGCACATTTTGCCCGAGTTTACGAGGGATATTGTTAGACGATTTTTTTGCCTGGCTTTTTTTCGAAATAGGAAGTTCGTCCGTGCGCAACGTTCGAGCGTTTTTATTGGGTGCATCTTCGAATTTTCACGTGCTTTTCCAGATCCCCACTTTTATTTTTTTCTCGAAATACGTATCTTTTTTTTTTTTTGCCATAGCTACGGTTACCAATTATATAGCCACGCATTACATACCTAAAATAATCTAAGTTTTACAAGAGCCTGGGTTCGAATCCCACATGCTCTTTTTTTTTTTTTTTTTTTTTTCATTTTTTAAAAGAATTTTAGTAAAGCTTAATCTTCGAGGTTGTCCGCTATTGCTGCCGGGGAAAGGCGCTCGGCGCGCCGAAGCGCGCCGAGCGCTTTTCCCCGGCAGCAACGGCACGTAATTCGTAAACTCGGGCTATTGTGGTGCCCCGCAGGGGTGCCCTCATGTTGTGTCGAATTTTTTCCATGGCTTAAATAAGAAAGTAACTTAATGGGCAGTATCTGGCACGTGCGCAATTATGTAAACTCGGGCATATTGTGTAGCCCGTAGGACTGCTTTTAGTTATATTTAAAATAGTAATTTGGTCAAATGGCTTAATCATTAAGTAAATATGACCATATATTAAAATGTATTAGTGATTTATTTAGCTATAAAAAAGACAATAACTATATAGTTACGCAACTAGTTTAATTTGCCGGCTGCTACTTATAACCAGGGTCCTAATCATACTGAGCCTCGGTGCCGGGTAAAGTTAACACAGGATCGTATTCATCATACTCCGGTTTTATCTCCAAGTTTATGGAGACGTGATAACTAATACTTCCTTCAGTAGCTTGTAATAATGAATCTTTGAAGAGATCAGGGGAAGTTATATCCCTCTTCCAATAGTCCAGGTTGAAGTTGCTGCTGTGAGGATAAATGCAAGGCTATCAACTATGACAGCATGACGAGCTATACTATCCTATTTATAAACTCACTAGATAGATGGTTAGAACTTCCTATCATAGTCATGCAATACCCTCACTTACACAGCGACTTTGATACGGCGCATCGCGTCGTTGACCGATATTGGCAAGCCTAGTACAGCCATTAGCACGACTGTCTGATACTCCATACGAACTGTATCAGCTGCTGAAGTTGCTATGACTATTACTCTATGGGTAAAGGAACAGTATAGGACGCTACTATAGGCTAATATAACTTGTGCCCTTTTGTCTTGTAGTTATGCGAACTTATAAATGGAAGAGGATGACATGTTATGAGAATGCTTACCGAGAAGCTTAAGGCAGGATCGAACTCGGGGGCATGGGTTAGGACGGGAGAGAAGGGCGCCGCTACACCAATACCGAAGACATCACTTTGAATATTGATATTGTTATCGCCTAAATTAAAAATATACATGGCTTGAGAGACAGGGGGCACTGGGCTAACATGAGAAGAGTACTGCCCGTTGGCTTATTCAATAAACCGCGAGATCTTAGATTCGGCGTCGAGCCCTTTTCATGCAATTCAGTCATTTTAAAGGCTTTGGTGTCGCTTCGAATCTTCTAGGGGCGGATGATAGCTTTCGAGTCGCCTGCCTTGGGCGCCTCACACTCGCGGTCAAACTCGCTAAGTGCTGTACGAGCACCAGCACGCACGATGTTAGGATTAGTAAAATACTGTCATGATTGCTTATACTTCCTCTACTACATGCCTTTGCTTTACGCCAGCGGCATGCCTATGCGAAGACAGGTGTAGTAGGAAAGTGACAGCTTCAAATAGTATGTGCGATGCGTAACAGTTTAGGTTAAGCACTTGTGGCTTTTTTTCCTTCAAATCTCTTTGGCGGATACCTACCATAACGGAAATGGGGGTTTTTAAAAAACGGTTATTTATAAGGAACGGTTTTTTATTTCCAGGCTTTTAATTAGTTTAAATCCGAAAATAATAAGTTTTAAACTTTAATTTTTAAACTTATTTTTTAACCGCCGTTTAATACGTGTAAAACCATTTTTTTTTAAAAACCCGTTTTTTTTTTAAAAAACATTTTTGTTAATTTTATTTAAAATTTAATTTTTTTAAATAAAATTTTTTATTTTAAAAGTAAAAAATATAAAAAATAAAAGTAATTAAATTTTTAAAAATAATTCGATAAAATTAACCATTTTATTTTATTAATTTAAACGTTTAAACATTAAACTTTAAACATTAAATTTTAATAAATTTAATGTTATATAAACGTAAAAGTTTTAAGTTTAAAAACCACGTTTTTTAACTTTTTTAACTTTTTTAACTTTTTTAACTTTTTTAACTTTTTTTTAACTTTTTAAACCCATTTTTCCGGAAACGTTTTTTATTAAAAAACCGTTTTTTTTAAAAAAAATCATTTTTACAATAAAAAACAAAACATTTATTATAATATAAAAACTTTATAAAAAACGTTTTTTAATTATTAAACGGTTTTTTATATTTATTTTACCCCGTTATAATAAATATATTACATTAACGCGTTAATATAAAATTAAAATATAATTTTAAAAATAATTTCAATAATTTAAAATAATTTTAATTACGTAAATAATTTTTAACAATTTTATAAATAAATAATGTTATTAATAAAATTTTTATATAAATTAATGATTTTTTTAAATTAAATACGATTATAAAAAATTATATTATATTTAAAAAAATAAAGTTATAAAGTTTCGAGATTATATGTAAAATATAAAAGTTTTAAAAAATAAAATATTTATTTTTTTAAAATAATTACGTACTTTTAATATGGTTTTAAAAATTATAATAAAAATAAAATAAATGTAATTTAAAATAAATAATAAAGTTATATTTATAAATAAATCGTATTTATTTAAATTAAAATTATTTTTAAAATTGTTTTAAAAAGTTAAAATCGTTTTAAAAAATTAAAATAATTTTAAAAAGTTAAAATTATATTAAATTTAACACGATTTTTATAACTATTTTAAACATAAAGTTATTTTTATTAAATATCGTTACGAAAACTTAAAATAATTTTGTATGCAATATTATCCTGGTAACGATGTCGGGATATTGTAATAATATTTACATTTTTAAAATAATCTTATAAAAAGATATAATCCCTAAGATCATGTCCGCCTCCCACCCTGGCGCGGTAATGTGTAGTTGAGGTATGCTGTAGTTGGGCATGTGCTCTAAAAATAGGAAGATTTGCCTTGGCTGAACGACAGCTTTTACCACCATATTTAAAAGGTGATCAGATCCCATATGCTAGAACTGACACGAGATTGGAATATTACAAGAAAATATATGATTCTCGCAGTGCCGACCTGGATACTGGTAGGCACTGAACATAGCTACCAACAAGATACAAACCCTTGAAACATTGCTGTCGGTCGATCAATTTTATCGTGTTTATTGCTAGAGAAAAAGCCTTGCTGCTCCGAGTCCCTTCTTGCTTTCGTAGTTGTAGTATCTACCACGCCAATGTTCAACCGAGACCAGTCACCATGTAGTTCACCAGCTGCAAAAACTAACAACGAAGGCAATATTGCATTATGACCATATCTTTGTAGTCTACTCTGGGCTTACTGCCACATCTGCTCCCCAGTTCCAAGCAAGATAGTACGGCAATACCCTGTCCCAATAATGGTATTCTCGCACGTCCACCTAATGACTATAAGATGACCAGCAAACATCATCTCACGTTACTTGTCTACTTGTGACCCAAAATGGTCTAATATGCTCCTCTCGAATTCTGCTCATGAGACGGCAAGATTCAGAAGACGCTGTGCTAAAGCTGTTCGGGTGCTCGTTTCAGTCGGGATAGGAGTAGGCATGGCTTCCTATAGCGACTCCTTGGTAGAGTTCGTCGAAACATCTGGGCTATCCCGGCTGGAGGCGGTTGAAGGTCTTCCACGAAGCACGCCACCCTACTCGGCGTTCCTCTCCGGTGCCCCGCCTGCACCTCCGCGCCAGAGCCCGTAAAACCCTTCGCAGTTCTTCCACATCTTGATTGTTCCGTCTTCCGAGCCGGTGGCGTAGAGCTTGCCGTCCGGAGAAAAGGCCACCGACCAAACAGGTCCGTGGTGGCCCTTGTGGATGTCTGTCCGAAGCCGTTAGTAATACGTGGAGAATTAGAACCGAAATTAGCACGAACCTATCTCCGTGTCGTCGTCCCATCTGTAGACTCTTGCCCACGTTGCCGGAATATCTTCGCCGACGACGATCTTCCTTCCCTTAGGGTCCAGAGCGACGCTAGCTACCTTGTAAGTCATCTTGGTGCGCTTCAGCTCGTCCATGGCGCGAAAGCCGCCCCAGAAATAAATAGATTTCCCAGCAGCTACCGCAAGGACTGGTAGCCCCTCGCCGATGTCCGTCTTGGACGTAAATTCTGGAGCCAGGGCACAAAACTCGCACGAACCAATTTCTCCGTCCAAGACTTCCTGCTTCACCACGCTCCTGGTAGGCAGGTCAAACCAGCGGAGTGTGTTATCAGAAGCGGTGATCAGGATATTCGGATCTCTAGTCCAAACTATGAATTTGATAGAGGCGGTGTGGATGCCGGCCCCTATCTCGAAAGCCGAGGAGGCTTGAATGGTGGACGGTACGATAGCAGGCTCGGGATTATTTCCATTCGTAGCGGCTTCGGGCGCAGACTTGGGCTTCATCTCTGTCAAGTCGAAAATACGCAGCTTCTTCTCCATCCCGCCGGTGGCAACGAGGTCAGAATTGTCGGGTGGGTAGGCAACAGCTCGTACGATGTGGTCATGTTGAAGAGTATACAGGAGTTCGCCGGTATGTGTATCCCATATTTTTCTGTCCGGGGAGATTAGCAAAAGCATAGGGGACTTGCAGGCGTGGCGTCACGTCGAAATTCGAGACAGCAGAACTTACGCAGTGAAGTCTGCAGACGCAGTTGCGGCAGTTGCGGCATCAGGACTAAGCCTGGCTTGCCAAACTGCACCTTTATGGCCTATGAATGTACCAATCCAGTCACCAGTCTGGCCGTCACGAAGCATAGGGTTACCGTCTGTAACGCGTTAGGGATTGATTGGCACAAGTTGTACGGAGCGGGTGGCCCGAGTACGCACCTTTACAAGCCGAGATCAAATAGTAAACATCATCCTTCTCTAGAGGCGAGAAACTGATGTGCGGAACAGGACGGGAATGTCCATGGCAGGTCAGAGGGACATATTGTCGCGGCGCCTCCGGGGTGGCCATTGCTAGAACAGAGCGATACGAGATAGATTCGTTCAAAGGAATCTTTACAGTTGAGAAGCCAAGCCGGAGGTCAAATCCCTGGGTAGATTGGATGAGAATATCGGAACAGGTTATCCTGTAGTGGAGATCCCAACTCGCGTCCGGCGTGCGCTTCGAACAAGAATCGGAGCGGCGTTCAGGGAGTAAGGAAGGGTACAGCGTAGAAGGTGTGAAAATCCCTATCGGAAATGGGTTATAATTGCTGAAAAATAGATGGAGAACGATAAAGGATAGAGAAGAAGATGCTCGTGACTAGTCGTGACAGTTCGTAAGATTGATATCGCAAAAGGGTGACGGAAGCAGAATCGCATTCATTAATAAAAGGACAGGAGCATATGGTATTTGGATCGGCGCAAGTCGGGTTTTGGATGCCTTTGAGCCCTCCAACTGTCTCCAAAGTAAACAGAAGAGGAGGAAAATGAGAGTCCAAAGAAGACGATCGAAGTGTAAGATCCCAATCGATAATGAGCGACAGGGGAGAAAGAAGCGTTGAGCGCAAAGGTATGAGAGAGAAGGAAAAAAAATCAGTCGTCAAGGCTGTTGGAGATTTGGGATAGGTAGAAATTCAATTGACGAGCCTCATTTGATGCGTCAAGGCCCCGACAGCCCTGACAGCCCGTGCTGACAGCCCTGGAAGTTCGACAGAGGTACGTGGGTACGTGGGTACATGGATCATGAGCTATAGGTTACATAAGGTGGGGCAGATATATCAATTACCCCACTTACCTCATGTACTGAAGCCCAGCAGCTTCAGCTTGTAGTAGGTAACTGCACTGAGTGACTTGCGACAAGGCGTAGCTCATGGAAATCGCCCTATCGAATTAGAGAATCTCTCCGACTTTACCATTTCTCCCCAACTTTGCCATTCGTGTTTGATACTCCCACGTTACTCCCACGCTGCCGACCTTCCAAATTAGCCTCCCTTAACAACATCCTGAATATCAGCATACACAACTGAACCCGAAGTATCGACGGCAACAGCCCGGTCACGCTATGGCCGACTTCAAGCTGTCCGCGCAGCTTGTCGGTCATGATGCTGATGTATGCCCCCCCTCCAATTATTTTATTTTATTTTATTAAAAAAGTGGCCGTTTTGTTCTAACCACTGAATACTATTCTCTAGGTTCGACATGTCTGCTTTCCCTCTCCCGAACTTATTCTCTCCGCCGCTAGGGACTGTACCGTTCGTGCGTGGAAACGCACCGGTACGTCGCCTCCAACGTTCGAATCCACCATAGCCACCCAAGGATCCGAGTTCTACAATAGCCTAACCTATTTACCCCCCTCGTCCGACCACCCCGACGGCTTAGTCGTGTCTGCCGGCACCGATACTATTATTGATGTTAGAAGGGCCACCTCGACGGCCTCGGATAACGCCGAACGTCTCCTTATCGGCCACGCCCGGAACGTTTGTGCCCTGGCCGTTGTTCCCGGTGGTCGGTATATCGTGTCGGGCAGCTGGGATAAGACTGCGAGAATATGGAGTGTGGATAAATGGGAGACGGAAGCTATCCTGGCTGGACACGAGGAGGCGGTGTGGGATGTCCTTCCCCTAGACGACACTATCGTCGTGACGGCTTCTGCTGACAAGAACATTCGCATCTACGACCTCAGGACTGTTGTAGCCGGCCAGGTCGAGCCTCGATCCACCATCTACACCTCTGACGTCATCCGAGCTCTATGTCGGGTTCCCAGCGGGCATCCGAGCGGCGCCGATTTTGCTAGTGCCAGCAACGATGGGGTCATCCGCCTATGGAAGCTGAGTGGCCAGAAGGTTGGAGAGCTCCATGGCCATGAAAGCTTCATATATGCCCTCGACACGCTGCCCTCTGGCGAGCTAGTCAGTTCGGGAGAAGATCGAACGGTCCGCGTATGGAGGGGTACCGAGTGTGTCCAGACCATTACTCATCCTGCCATCTCGGTCTGGACTGTGTCTGTGTGTTCGGTAGATGGAGACATCGTGACGGGTGCCAGCGACGGTGTCATCCGCGTGTTTTCCCGTGATCCAGAGCGCCTAGCCAGCCCCGATACTCTAGCGCACTTTGACGAATCCGTCAAGAGTTCGTCGATACCACAGCAGCAAGTGGGTGGGGTAAACAAGGAGAAGCTTCCAGGCCCCGAATTTCTAAAGAACAAATCGGGGACCAAGGAGGGACAAGTGCAGATGATAAGAGAGGAAAACGGTTCCGTGACGGCTCACCAATGGTCGATGAGCCAACAGCAGTGGGTCAACGTCGGTACCGTGGTCGACGCAGTGGGCAGCAGTGGGCGCAAGGTTGAGTATAACGGCCAGTCTTATGACTACGTCTTCGACGTCGCCATCGAAGAGGGTCAACCTTCCCTGAAACTACCATACAATCTATCCGAGAATCCCTACACCCGAGCCCAGAAATTTATTGACGACAATGAGCTTCCGCAAAACTTCTTAGACCAGGTCGCCCAGTTCATCATCACAAACACGGAAGGGGCTACAATCGGACAAGACTCTGGGGGTTCAGGGGGGGCCGATCCATACGGGACGGAGTCGCGATATCGGCCAGGTGATGACCCTAGCTCTTCTAAAGCCCGGTCTCTGCCGCAGCGCGAGTATCTCGATATCACGGCTGCGAAATACGAACGTAAGTAACCTAGTAAATCTTGCAACATTTGCTAGCTCTAACCATGTAATTATTTAGCTATATTTAAGAAGATTCTCAGTGTCAACTCTTCTCTCGAAGCCGCGGGGCGCAAAGACCATTCCCTAAATCCACCGGCGCAGGAAGTATTACTTGGGTTAAGGCAGAGGCTAGAAGCGAACCAGCCGGTAGTGGATAGCGCCTCCATCAGCTTAGTCGTCATGATGTGTACGCAATGGGACTACTCGGATAGGCTAGCCCCTCTCGACCTTTTCAGATGCGTCGCAACGTCGCCCGCTGTAGCCAAGTTCAGATCGGCCAACCTCGGCAGTCCGGTACAGATAGCCATCTCCGCCGCGCTCGAGGGCATCCCGCCTGGCGCACAACCTAACGAAAACTGTGCTATGATGGCGGCCCGAACGATTGCCAATCTTTTCAGATCTACCGAAGGTCGAAGATTACTCGCACAGCATTCGGAAAGCCTCCAAATTGCATCATTCGTCGACCGGGTATTAGGTATCGGTGGCCAACCTGCGATCGGCCCGTACAACCGTAACCTATTGATCGCCTTGACGACGACCATTGTGAATCTCGCCGTTCTCGCATCGAGAGAGCCAGGAAGCGTCCCGGCCAACGTTCAGGTCCGCCTGTTAACTGCGCTTGCTCGGATCCTCCAAACGCAGACGGAAGGAGAAGTTATATTCCGAGCGTTGGTGGCTGCAGGTACCCTTATTACCGTGATTGGTAAGACTGCTCCTGAAGCGAAGAGCTTGTCATCGCCCATAGCGTCGAGTAAAGAACGCATCTCCGAACCACGTGTGAAAGAGCTAGCCGATGAGTGCCTATCACTTCTTAGATAGCCGCAATCGAAGGTAATAGCATTAACTCAAGCAGAGCGTCCCCCTTCCGAATAACCATCCTCGCCAAGCCTTTTTAATCTTTCAACTGGTTGTTGACATTGATGCCAATCCTCTTCTGCATCATCAGGAGCCGGTGTTGAGCATCTCGCAGTAATAATCCCTTGAGGAATTGGTATGGTTTTACTGCTTTCGGCGCCATCAGAATTACTCGAATAGACAGACTCATACCATGTGAAATTTTAAGAGGAACTAGCTGCAGTAATATAGACGGCCTCGAAATTTCGTCTAAGTCACAGGATTATGATAGTTCGTTCAATTGCATGAGTTCTCACCACGTATATAAGGTGTGTTTTATAAGACTATCCTACCCTATATGAACATTGGTCCACCCGTATCGACCACACCCGACCCATTTTACTATTTCTACGTAGTATTTAAATCCAGTATAACCCTTTAAGAAACATCAGTATCAAATGACTCACCACGGGGTCGAGAAATTGCAGTTTCAAGACTTTCTCCTAGTTTCTGCCTAGTCGGCTGCTCTGGCGTGTCTCGTTACTAGTGGAAGCTAAAACACGTTCCTAACCGCCAGGTTTGAATTGTACCTATGATATGCGGCGTCACGACGGTTGGATAGCACGTTAGGTACTGATCACCCATGCCCTTCCCCTTTTCATGTCTTAATTCCATCTACGGAACCAAATGTACTTAATGAATAGCAGCGGGGTCCTTATAAGGATCCAATTTACTTAAGAGGGTATCTATTGATCCTCGAGACGATTTAAAGATCTATAAAATTTGCATCTTGGGATGATAAATGGTATAGTGGGATAGAAATTTTAATCCTGTCTCCCGAAAATTATAAGGCCCGGTCAGCATGAAAAATCGCTCACCAGTACCCAAAAAACGCTCAGCCGCCCACCTTATACGCCAGTCCTAGATGCCACGCGGTATATACAGATACAAGGTGTTACAATCCAAAAAAAAAAAAAAAATTGTTTCACCTGCCTTGTTCATTTTCCTTCGTTGTCGTAAATTTCTGCACTCCCTAGAACCTACAGTAAAAACCCCAGAGCACACATAAATATCGGGAAGTAGCCTAGCCAGCTCCACGTTGCAGGACTGTGATTCCAAAGACCAGAGGCGCTGCTAGTACTCACGTTCGCCGCCGAATCCATCTCTTGCGTCGTAACGGTGTATATCTCAGCGAATCCGAGGTCTGTACTGTTATAACAGTTAGACCCGTTAACTTTAGCGATCCTCTCGTCTCCGGGTTCAGCGAATGTAATATCCGAACACTAGTATAATACGATTAGTCTTTAAATCATCATAACCGTCGGTTACATCGTAACCTACCGAAAATAGAGCGGCCCCGTGCTGCGCTATCTCGACAACTTGTATAGTCGCGTTGTCCCCGGCGTTGAAACTCATGTTCGCAGGGAGGGGGACCTGGGGCAGACAAACCGTCCCGGGATACGGACCTTTCGAGGGACCGAGAAGTTGGAAAGGAGCGATCATGGGGAACGACAGATTTTTTGGCCCGTTGTCAGGTCCGTCCGTGCCGAATCCGAGATTGATGTATAGGAATGCCGTCTGATGACCTTGAAACCAGCCTGGTTGAAACGCAACGGCGCCACCCGTGGTTGGCCAGTACGACCTATTCGTCGTTAAGGGCATACCGCCACCTGTATTAAATACATTAGATCGAGTTGATCCATACCGGGATTGATAACTGCACATATCAAGAGAACTAAGGCAAGCCAGATAGGTTTACTCACATGGATAAGTCCATTGCATGCCGTAAGGAAATGTGGTGTTCTCGATGAGATTATCTCCCCGCCATCCGGGATAGGTAATGACTGTATGAGCCGTTACTATGGTCGAGGCGACCACAGCTAGTAGTATTGAGGACAGCATCGTGCGTTAGGCAGTGTTGTTGTTTTTTTCCCTCGTCTTTCGGACCCGTCAACAGAAACGGTCTGATGAACCGGTGTATGGGCAATCCCGTCGCACAGCGATCAGCTGGTAATTTAGAATGCGGTTCCCAAACTTTCCCGCAGAGCCGATTGCGAAGATGGTCGAACGCGAATGTTGCCCCCGTCTACTAGTATACGCGATCGAAAGGACACCTCTACCGTCCGGCTCTAGTCTAATAGTTGTTCTGGTCGTGATACTAGCAATAACCCCAGATATTACTCTGCAGTATGCGTATGTCCGTTTAAAGTGCTAGGACATCGGCGCCGGTGATGGAAGCGATGAGAAAAAGGATCGGGAAAGGATGGTAGGGCAGAAGGTGCTCATTATTACTGACGGGTGGGCGCAATAATTACAACGCCATCCGTGTCTGCTCGAAGCACCTGCATTGCCTGACCAATACCATCGATGGCTCCCCGCCCCAAGAGATCAAGGGTCAAAAGAAGCGGGCGCCATTTTGGGACAAACGGTCCAGTTAGGAGGGCAGAATAATGTGCACGACGTGCAGCCGAAGCCTGTCCCTTGTCAACCGATCGGGAATAGCCAATAAGGTATCGCTGATGATACTTGGGCGAGTCGCTTGTTCAATGTATGGACGAAGGTGATTTGTTCAAAAGTAGCCAATGATATTGATCGACGGCAGGGGAGCTCCGGGATCACAGCAGCCCTTGCTGATATAGTTGAACATAACCCCCCAAAAAAGATATGGTTGGTGACAATAAACAGCGCCGGCACTACTTAAGACAGGGATTAGGCAAAGCTCCCCAGGGCAAACAACCAATGATGATAGCCAGCATTAAGCGCCGACGAAAAAGCCCCCTCGGCCTCGGGAAGCCCCAATCTCTTTCGATCTTAACGTGGATCCCAACCCATCCTACCGTCTCTCCTTGCAAGGCTGGGTTGACTATGGGGCTATTTTTGGTCGAATATGAGCGACCAGTATGTATCATTCTCACCTACCACGAATCGTTTTGTGCCTCCCCCACCAAATAAGTATACCTTAGGAGGTAGATATATATTTACATAAGACCAATTTCATGTCCTTTCCACGTCAATGCTGCTTAGCCTTGCGATACTTTGCAAGGCGATATGATGATGATGATGATGATGATGATGATGATGATGACGGTGAGAATCTTCAGTACCTAGACGGGAAAATTATTAACAAGCAAAGAGACATAATCTTGGCGCCCCGGAGATTATTATGGGTCATTTTCAACGACCGATACAAATTCCGGATTCCAAATCAAGTGCCCAAGTGGCATTCGGATGTTTTCTATAATCGTAAGAACGTGGTAGCCCCATGACATGACGCTACCGCACAAGCTCAAACGCGTGCTCTCGGGTTGTTAAGTGAGTTTGCGCCATCGATTTTCTTCCGTATCTCATCTCATGCATGAAGGCGGCTACGTAAAACGAAGAGTCTTTCATGCTAAAATACCCTGTAGCACAACGAGTTGTGCTAATTGGAAAGCTTTGCCGGCGAAGCTTTCCAATTAAATACGTTGAAAACCAAAGCCGATGGCTTAGGTTTTAGATTTCGATGAGGCTATCGTGAGTTTACCGTGTACGTACCTTAAAAGTCGAGAATACGTACCTAATTTTGGCTCCGACTAACCGCATTTGGAAATCTCGGGTAAACTCCAGCCAATAGGGTAAATGCAAAGTCGTAAGGTTTCACTAGCGTCAAAATCTGATCCCTCTACAGACCGAATTTAACTTAGGAAAGCAAGCTTTCCAATTGAGTCTCAGGTGTGGCTAATAGGGCTAGGTACAAGTAGGTACTGTGGCTTTAACAGTTCTTATGTGGACCTTTATGATAAACCACTATCTTAAGTGTCATTTCTAACATTAGAAAATAAATCAAGAGCTATTCCTAGTCACACTCTTAATCCATTAAATTAAAATTGCAAACTATTTACATACTTCGATCATAACTTGTGGCAACTCTTCCGTGAGATCGTTTATTCGAATTCCTACCGCGAATTTCTACATGGCCATTCTATTTATGCAGATGTCGCTTATATTGATTGCTCCATGGCCTCAACAGTGATAAATGGTCACGAGAAAGCAGCCGAGCCTGAAGAGCAATGGACCCGTGTTCATCACAAGGGACGGCGCCGACCTAAAGCACCTCACTCCGTCGCCCCTTCGTATATCGCGGGAGGTATCGCTGGCTCGGTGCGGTCGTCGTCCTTATCCGTTCCTGCCATCATGGAGGAGCACAAGCGTATCAAGTACCAATGGGAGACTTCGATATGCTATCATAAGTTGCAAGAAATTTTCGAATCGCGCATGTCCCCTTCCAATATTTCCGATGCTATCTGCTTTGGCACAGGATCGTTCGATCCCGAAGATAGCTCCTGGGAGATGAAGCGAAAGGCACATATACAACTGGCCGCTTTTCTTTTCATCGTTAAGCAACTTCAGCGTAACAGTTCGCGTACGATCCGATGTATCTTCCAGGAGCCCGTTTTCAACACGTCGGATAAGGATTTTATTCGCGCTTTGGGCCACGAAGTAGTTGATTCGCCTATAGGGTTCGAACTGGTCAGCCCAACAACACTGGTGTTTGGCATTCACTTATACAGGGACGTTTATGCGCAAATCATCGGCAAGTGTCTTCCTGCCGTGTTCATTGGGACACCGCAAGAGGTATGGGAAGAGTAAGTACAACTAACCCTGTTCCGCGGGTTTGAATGGCATGCTTTCTATCGGTCAATCTTGTTGACGGTATCCCGGCTGACAATCAGTAGATGCTACGGCTCTGACCCTTTGGACTGGGTCGAGCTGGACGAGCTGAATAAAAGATGCGATAAGGTTAAGTTTCCCGAGGACACGGGATATACCACCTTCTCGAGTACCACAATTCACCGGAGACGATGTGATGAGACATGAGCCGCATACCAGAATTCGCATCTCGATGATTGCGATATATTGGCGCATCGCCGATTCCGCCCCCGTTGTTGGAAACTAGACCAGGATCATGTTCGATATTATCGTCTACTCATATGGCCTCAGTATAGGATCTTCGAGTAGGTAATAGCAATTCCAGTCGGATCTGGTACAAAGTCTGAGTGCGAAAATCTCCGTAAAGAAACAACCCCATTCAGAAATTAGAGGAGGCTATCTACTATTAGTAAGGCCTCAAGAGTTAAGCATTGCATTTTTCAAAACGTAAAAAGATTAGTACATGTAGCGAGTGTATAAAAACACTACATAACGATATCACACCCCTGCCCCTTTCGTATTTTATGTAAGGTGGTTCCATTATATTATTAGATATATTTGTTAACCTAGTGGATGTACCTCGACTTGTTCCCGTTCATTTGGACTTATTATGAACTTGTATAGAATGCTCTTATAGGGTTGTAATGCCCATTGTTGGCCGGAGGCATCAAATGGTATCTTGTATTCTGCATAATGAGGACACGCTTGTGGTCGTTCAATAATTGTACCAGTCCAAATAGGCGACCATTTTCTTTCTCGGGTAGTAATTTAATCGATCGTGATTTCATCATGAATTACGGGTGCTAATCAACACAATATCTTAATCAATCAACGCAATTCCAAGACACCGCATTTTCTATAAACATCTTAATAAAGAAGAAAATGATTCTGCTGTCAACACGCTGTAAACACAAGGTATTTCATACGTGACAGTAATGTTTAACCCGAATTATATTGATAACATTGATTTACTCGCTATTGCGGGGTTCTGTCTTGACATCTCTGCAACCCATGCTTGGTGCTCCTTTGCGAGCTTGATGGGATCGTTCATCTCAAACGAATAATCGAATGGCATGTCGTCAGTAAGCGAGCCCAATTCCTGGTCGCCTGCGCCGTGTGAACTTTTACCGCCGACATGCTGAATCAAGACCGGGGTGACAGCCCAGCGCAAGCTATTATGATTATTGGCCCAATCCTCCAGAAATGTATCAACGGCAGCGTGGCTATCGTGAGTCTCGCGGTATAGGGGGAGCAAGTGATCGAGTACCTGACGCTGAGGAAATATGAGTCCTTGCGCGCAACAGCCGTACTTCTGCATAAGGTGAACGCCGGGTTCTTTTGGTAACATGCAATTACGGCCGGCCGCGAAGAATAGACCGATCAGCATGGGAGTACAAACTCCGCAGAGTAAGAAGAGGACCGAAGAGGTCAGAGTTTTACGAAGCATAACAATACGCCATCGAAGAGTCATCAAAATTAAAACTTCGGCAATTAGTATTGCTATGCTTGACTCGACATATAATGGCCATTCCTCGCTGTTCCAGCCGAGAAGCCTACCGTCATAGAAGACGCGCAGGTAGAGAACTACGTAGATGATAACTAAGTTAGTAATGGTTTATATGAAGATAATAATTTACGGGGCGTATCTTTGCTAATAGATCGAAACATACACCCATCTCGTCCGAGCTCCTGGGTCTTCCTCGCGGCAGTATGCAAAGCGCCGAGAGCTCGGTGATACCATCCATCTAAAGCAATCACGTCGTCCTCCAAGGTCATGATGTATTTAGCGGCGACTCTGGTGCATTCGCCTAGTAGTACCGTGTAATCGATCTTCTGCTTTCGAGCATGGGCTTCGTAGTCTCCGCTAATCTCGAGCTGGCGCACAAGGTCAGATGTTTCGACGTCGTCTGGGTAGGTTGGGAGATTGTCGGCCATGTTGATGAGCCAGGGTTGGTTGAAATCTTCGTGTTGGGATTGATCGGTGTGGGCTAGGAAGACGACAACGTAGATGCGTTGGCGTTCGAGATCATCTAAGCCGTCGAGCACCGACCCGAGGGTTTCTTTCAAATAAGAGAACCCATGCCGGCTCACCGAGGCAATGCCGATACAAAGTTCGGGAACGGTGGAGTTGGCGACCCATTTTGTCGGGGTATGCAGCGTAGCTAGATCTGCATACTTCCGGGCCTGCGCCTTGCGAAAGGAAGAATATGTCAGGACGCGAGCGGATTCGGGCCTAAAAAAGAAGGAAGACGGATCGCGATAGCACTTGGACCGCAAGTAGAGAGCGATTATAGCATAGCAGAGCAGAAAACTCAAAAAGAACGACACGACGCCGCGATTTGGAGTTGTAGCGAGCATCTGAAAGCCGCTAGCTCTCTCCCTCGCTCCCAGGGAATCAACAACTTCCCCCCTTGACGCGTTGAACTTGATATATAAGAAATAGCGATTCTACCGGTGGAAGAGAGAGCGAGCTTTAATTGGTGCTTAACACTTGGAAATTACCAATTGGCAATTAGTAGTGGGTAGTTGGTAGTTGGTAGCTGGAAGAAGTCAACCAGGCTGGCCGGATAATGGACCTCCATATTGGAGGTCGATAGTGGTAGTTAGTAATCCAAAATTGGCCTAGGTAATCACGACTATGCGTTAACAATCCTATCCGATACAACCGATAATAACAAATTATTGATGGAGGATTGTAGATTCTATGCTTGTAAATCGTATGCCCAGACTTTGCCTAGAACTTGCCCAGTCGTTGTGCCACTGTGGCGGAGTGGCTGTGCATTCAGTTCCCATGATATTGCCTTATATCGTGTCATACACGTCTTGCTATAATGTTTAGGGTTTTATATTCAAGTCCAGCGACTCTAAGTAGGTACTTAAGCTAATCTGTAAACCCTCGACCTCACTTTTATTTTCCTTCATATTTATGTTATGATGTTTAACTCTCTTGATATTTACTTAACAACGAACAATTACGCTTACGGTATTATTACGGTTCGTACGGAGTATTAGAGAGCCGTAATAAAAGACTTATAGGCAACCTCAAAGCTTACCACGAGGGGGGCTACAGCGCAAACGCCGTGTCAAGATCACTGTATCTCAGTGTGTATATTGAGTGAGTTAGCTAACTAGGAGACTAAGTTCTATCAGTACGCGACAGTTTAGCAAGGATTTAGGTAGACGGAAAGAATCTTTCTAGGACTATAAAACAAACGACTTTATCTATAGCTACGAAATAGCATAAGTGTATTGACTTAGTAATTGGATTCATGCTTAAATTTCCTCGTCATGTTGTTAATATTGTGAATTCTATTAGGGGTTTGGGATGTTTAGCAACCTGCCCACAAAGAATTCTAGAGATTTCAATTGTGAAGAAGCCTCTTTTGATCTTAACTAGACGCTAGGTTGGATCGCCATCCCCCAAGCATAATTTCTTGTCTTTTCCTTACTCGCTTTCAAGGACAAAGGGGCACTAGGTGCCGGCCGAAACCGAAGTTTGACCTCTGATTCAGTTTGTAGCCCATTGTGCTCGTAGGTCGTCGGATTCGGCGGAGCACAAAGATATATTAAGAGCTCACGCTGTTAGGAACGCCCACGGCCACCTTTGTTAACAGGCGCGAATATCTTAATAACTCCAACAGCAACCAGCCGACGCATCAATTACCCAATAGGTCTGGCCTACTACGCAGTACTACTCCCCAGTGGTGTAATAAACTATACTAGAACTCACCTGTATTTTATAGCGATACACAAACTACACATAGACACGGCTGTTGATGGTATAAGGAGCTCAATATCACGAGTGTCATACGAAATACTACCCAAGGCTTATCATCATTTGGGATCCTCTATCATTTAAGGCAAGAACAAAACATGCCGGACACCTCGCCAGCGCAAGTACTATGCGGGACTCAAGGATCGGACCAAGGACAATGCCGACAAAGGCATATAGAACTGCCTGGTAGTAACTTACCTGAACCGCCCAATGGCTGGCCAGATATAAGAGGTCTCAATCAGCTTCAGGCCAGCCGCGAGGAATGGCTCAATGGTGATGCTCTTGATAAAGCGCTAAAGGTGTATCAGAACAGCTTGCCGAAGTTGGCCAGGGACATGATCCACATCGCAGACACGAGTATTGAAGGAATATTTGGGACAAGCCAGAAGACGTTTGAGGACATATTGACAAGAAACTATGGCAGATTCTGCCGGAGCCTTAAACGGACCGAATATACCCTGTGGCCGCTGAACATTTATGGTAACCATTGGGAATTAGGTGTTATCCGTAAAGCGAATCCGACTAAGAAAGATGAGGGATGGACAAGAATTGTTCAGTTAGGCATTGTCGATTCGTGGGAAGATAAACAGAGGGGGCCCAGAAGACAATTCGCTGAAAGTCGATTACAAAGGTTCCTCAGAAAAAACCAATTCACGTTTGCTCGAGATCACCAGCGCTATATATCGACAGCCCGGCAGTTAGACGCTTGGAGCTGCGGTCTCCGAACGTTTTGGGCAGCAAGGCATGTTATGAACCGGATAGTGGATATGGTGCAAGGTGATGTCTATCATTACAACGAAAACCTCTGGGAAGGCATGACCGGGTGGTTTAACCCCGACTTGGTGCGATGGGAGATGATTGGCCTTACCGCATACGAAGCTGTTCGGGAAATGGGCTATAGAGCACGTATCGCGGTGGAAGTGGTTAGAACTGCTCGGGACGGAGCTGAAGACGTAGATGCGGCAACTTTGATGGAGCCGCCGGAGGGCGGGGACTCAGTCGTAGTATACAACGCAGAAACTAGAAAGCGAGGGAGAGAAGATGATGACGAGGCACTGCCTTCCACTTCAAGAAGAAAGACCCAGAAACTAGCGGTCTCTAATAAACCGAAAGTAGCACCGGATTATACGCCAGCTGATAATTATGAGGCCTTCGAGAAGAAAACCAACCCGGTCTTCCCGCCTCAGGCAGGCCGTAAAACACGTAGTCTTCCTACGACAAAGACACCTGCCCAAGACCAGGAGGGCGCTCAGACAGCCTCAACCAGAGGGAGGGATACAAGGGTTCGAAGGCGAGGAGAGAGGGGCGGCAGGGGCAACAGGAGTAACAGGGGAAATAGGGCCAATAGGGGTAGGAATTAGCCGTTCCTTTGATAATTCCGAAGCCTACTACTTATTAGTCTGTGGGAAAACTTGATGATTGTGGATTGGAGAGTGATCGGGATAGGGGGATACGGAGGTATGGGAACAGGGGACGTGGGACGTTTAGAGATGTAAGAGTCTTAGGTGGGAGTTGAGGCGCTTTAGCCCTACATGTAATTTGTAAATTTTACGGCTCTTTTACTTATATTGAGATTATGCTTGAGGATTTTGTATGATTAATTTGTCACTTATTATTAGATACGTGATATGTTAAGCACGCGGTGCATACTTGTATCAGCCTGACTTGTATAGAGGAGGTTAGGAGGTACAGTATGTGAACATACACACATATATAAGCACCTAATATGCGGAATTGTGCCCCTAAGCATGATATCCTACCTAACATATGTTGGAAGTGCTTAAGAACTTTACATAGGTATATGACGCACTTAATCTAGATGTACATCTGTATGCATCAATGGCTCACATTTTTATTGAGTCTTGGCAGCGAGGTTAAATGCCCCATATATGCATAAGTCCATACATATACACAACCCTTGCTTTATGCATATCTTCATTTATCTTTCATTTATCCGACTAGCTAATCTCTTACGCGCTCGGCCGTCATTGTTGTATAATTTCTGGTTAGCTTGATCATCTTTTCCCTCTTCACTTTTCATACATTTAAGTAGACATATTTCTTTAATATTCCTAATATTGCTAAAATAGCTACAGCATATACTAAAGTATCCCGAACGAGGCTCTATAATGCTATTCGTAGGTTGGGACATAATCGCGCTTTGTCGTAGTCGATCGTAGTCGATCGTAGTCGATAGCATTCAGCCATGGACGACTTTGACCGAGACTCCAATGCGAGCTCGGATAACGAACACGATGACGATATTATGATCCACGAAGCGGACGGCGATGCTGATGCCGACGTAGATGTAGATGGCGAGGACGAGAATGACAATCCAGATCACGACGAAGACGACAATGACAACGATAATGACAACGAAAATGACGAAGAGGAAGACGACGATCCCGACCAGCACGAGAATGAAGACGAAGAAGACGCTCATGACCACCAGCAACCGAACGGCTTGGCTAACCCGGCCGTCACTCGAACCTCGGCTACCCCCGGTCCTCTCGCTACTCCCAGGTGGAAGCCCAAGGTTCGCCCGGAAGCGCTCACCGCAGCTACGTACGATATCGTTCCGACTATGGCAGCTCCCATGGCTACCAGTGTCAATGCGATAGCTATAACCCCTGATCTTCGTTACTGGATGACGGGTGGAAGTGACGGATACATCAGGAAGTACGACGGGCCTGCTACAATCAACGGTAAGACCCTCCTGACTGTAGCGCAGCGTCATCCGTTCGTCGACTCGGTAACTAAGGCTGGTGTCTTGATGTCGTATTGGGAAAATGCCGAGCCCCAACCTGCCCCTGTGCGACAAGAAGACTTGGTCCTCAGCCCCGTCTACAGTCTAGCTGTCCACTCCCAGGCCTTGTGGCTCCTGTCCGGCCTCGAGAGCGGCGGTATTAATCTCCAAAGCGTGCGTCACGACGAGGGGAAACGGATTGCATGTCTCAAGAAGCATACCAATGCCGTCAGCGTTCTGACTCTTTCTCCGGATGAGAAGAGCGTACTGAGTGGCAGCTGGGATAAGAATATATTTGACTGGGATCTGAATACGGGACAGGTGGCGCGTCAGTTTGATGGAAGTGGAGGACAGATTTCTGCCGTCGAGATTCGGCCCATGGGGGGACAACCGATTCCCCCGGAAGCTAGCGAAGAGGAGATACCGAGCGATACGTTCTTTAGCAATAATACGCATCCTGGTGCCGACGGCGACTTAAAGTTTGAGATGGATGACGCATTTGGTATGGATATCGACACTGGCGTGAACGGTATAGGAGTTAACGGCGTTTCTGACCAGATGGCTAATGGGAGAGACGCCATGCCTGATGGTCGAGGGAGTCCCGCGCATGACAGCCTATTTGGTGGCAGCCCAACAGTCGGCTCCGATCTCTTCGGTGATAACGACGGCATGGGCGCTTATGAGGGGGACGACGACAACGAATTTTCCCGAGCGATGATGCAAGATTCGGCTCAGGATGCCAACGTTGCGATAGGCAATTATAATATGTCTGGTCCAGCCTTTGAACCAGGATCGGGTCAAGTGCCAACGACTCAGCCTCTTCCTAATTCGAACTCCTCAGACCCTACTCTATTTGGCGACAATGCGCTCAGTTCTTTTGGGACCGACGTAAATCTCGACCCGTCGTCTCTGCCCTCCATGCCGGAGTTTTCGCAGTCAATAAACCCGGGCGACAACACGTTACGATCGCAGCTAGCAGATATGCCGTTGCCACCTGCTCAGGGTGGCCAAGAGGAGTTGCCTCAGTCACCGTCCGCTGTTTTCGCCGCCCCGCCCCCTGCGCATTACGATATGACACAGACTTCGGATAGTACTTTTCTTTCCGCGTCCATTGACGGGACCTTACGTATTTGGGATCGTCGAATGCAAAATCCCGTGGCGCGTATTGGGAACAGGCCTGGTATCCCTCCTTGGTGCATGGGGGCGTGCTGGAGCCCGGATGGCAATTGGATATACGCGGGCAGGAGAAACGGCACGGTGGAGGAATTTAGCATACAGAAGGCAAAGGGCGGTCGCGTGGGTTGGCAACCAGAACGGGTTTTCAAGTTTCCTGGTGGGAGCGGACCGGTTAGCTGCGTTCGATCAATGGTCAACGGACGGCATCTAGTTTGTGCCTCTCACGATATTCTTCGACTTTACGATCTTCGCTCCGAGCATTCGTCTAAGCACTCGCCACCGCCTTTCCTGATTATCCCTGGCCCGCCACGCGCCGGCGTCATATCTAGCTTATACATCGACCCGTCAAGCCGCTTCATGATATCAGCTGCGGGGAACCGAGGCTGGGAAGGGACAACTACCGAAGTGCTTATTGGATACGAAATAAACGTTCCATCGTGATAGCACCTGCATTTGTATTCATAATACGCGTATGCGAAATGCAGCCGCCCGCCGGTATTCTATCGGACTTACCCGATCAATACTAATTCGGAACTTTGGGATTTCCGTGCGCGCTACTATCGCGAGCCTTATGGCCGTTATTTGCACGGCTTTTCTCTCTCTTTTTAATCCGTTGATTTAACAGCTTATTTGGAAAAGTAGATACCCGGCGTTTGATTTGGAAACGGCGAAACGGAGTCATGCTGCTTTCTACGAGGTTGGGCGGAATTCATGTTCCAAGGACTATCACTAGATGACGGGATAAGAATTGGCGACAATATCCCTACGGTATCTCAGCGTGGTGCTTTGCAAGGAGGTACGAGTCTTTGGAGTAAGTGGTGGATACATCCGAACATGTTCCTGATATTGTCATTCACTCTAGTAACGGTATAATATCGATAGCGTGGAGAGAGCAATCACGACTGAAAAGTTTGGCTAGCTTGGTTTCTGATCTATTGTGGCTATGAAGTGCATCTTGTGCGCGTAACAAGATACCTTTGCGGCCTATGTCTTGATCCCGCCTAGTTTCTTGTCGTTTCTCTTCTTACCCTCCCCTGACATATTGGCTTCAAGCAGCCTGTTCTCCATACTCAGTCTGCACTGGAAAATGAATTGTGAAAGCCGCAGCTTATCCCGCTTGGTAGATGGCTAATGCATTGACGTGTGGGTTGATCTGCGTGAGGTTGAATGGTGTGACGTATAAATCGTCGTCTGTGATGGCCAAGAAGATGGTACCGTTCACAGCCGGATCACCTTCGTATGTCGAGGTGTTGGGTTGAATGGTATATGCAGTGTTGCCACTGATATTCTGTAAGGGGGTATAGGTGACGTTGAGCTGAGAGACCCAGGCGGCGAACCTAGGATGTCCTGCCGACGTGCTAGTGACGTAGCTGTTGTTAGGCCCGATGGAATTTCCAGGGCTATCCCACTCCAGGAAGATTTGACGGCCGGGATATGATAACGGGGTGGTCCTATTATGGGTGATGGCCGGCCCGCAGTTTTGACCGATGCCACCGCGCAGACAGCTCTCTGCCGCTGAGATATTTCGAGTGCTGAGTGTGTTCGCGTACCCGCCGGTGGTCTCGTTCCAGGCGACAGAACCGTTGACGCGAGCTGGGTTTGGCTGGTTGATGACGCGTAGTGAAGGGAAGTTCTGCCAGATCAGGCGAGTCTGGTTAGCTGGACACGACGAGATATACGGGGCCAGGAGGGTCCACGCCCAGGATTGTGGGATGCCTATCTCAAACCACACAGGCATAGGAAAGAGGCCATCGAACTGGCGAAAGATGAGCTGCTGTCGTGCCTCTGTTGTGATAGACTGCAAAAGTATCTGAGCCGTTTCACGCGAATCAAGATGATTCAGGAAGCCATATACGCCCGACTCTCCCCAGCGGGTTAATTTCTGGTTGAAGTCGATGAATTCTCGCACGCTTGTCACTGGGTAGTTGTAAGTACACTGGACCGGAGCGTTATCCCCCAGCAAGTTGGTCATAGCTGTAGCATGACCAACTTCTTGCTCAGCCATGAACTGGATGAGATACCGATCTTCGGCATTCAATCCGGCGTCCTCGAACTCTTTGGCGGAGAACCTGGCTAAACCCCAGTGGAAGAGATCGAGCTCGATCCACTCTTGGTAGAGGGTTAGCGCAATGGACTCATAGTCAAAATCGCTTATTACACGATACACTGGCTCGGACCCGTTGGTTCCCAGGCCACCGGCGGGCGTGTACGGTGCGGGTTGTGGTTGGTGAAGCTGCCCGTCTGCAGGATATTGCAGCTTGTACGGCTCTGGTGGCCTGACTGGAATGGTTGAAGCCGTGACCTCGGTGGAGAGTGCGCCGGTTGTAGTAGCCGGTGGGCCGGTGTATGGGCCGTGAGAGGTCACGTTCGTCACGGGAACAACAGGGACTGTCGTGGTCGCATCGGATTGCACGGTAGTTTGAGCTTCAGATACGAAGG